GCTCGGCTGCTTTTGACCATTGGTGGGGACTTATGTCTGCCATTATTTTCTACAAGCCACTTGAAAGCTGCCTTAACGATACTTGTATTCATATTCAGGGATGCATATCCTCGCCTTCCAAGCTTAAGGCTACAGGTATCCTTCCTTCATATACTTCATATCCCTGACGGTGTCATGCAATTTGTTTTGTTTTTTTCTCTACAACACTAACTTGTTTAACCTTTGACAGCCAAAATTGGGCCTGCTGCTGAACTATTGGTTAGGGACCAACGTAAAGGCAAGGATCCAATGGATTCAACTACTCAGACAAACACCCCCTCAGTTCCGAAATTAATGGTAGACTCTTTCGCAGCCGCGCAGACACAAGCACAGAGAAGAACTACCACCCGTACCCCTGCTGAGACAGAGGTCACGGCGAAGAAGAGAGAAGAGCTTTCCACTGCTCCTGCTCTAAGCACAAACCTAAGTGAGTGGGATATCCCTCTCAGCCAAATGGTTGGCCAAACAACATCAAATCCTTCAGGGCAGCTCTACCAAGTATGTAGCGACCCTAATTTTCTTAAGTCATTATTTTGTTTTATTATTATGGTTATTCTTATCTTATTTTATTTTTGACTTTATTAATTGTATCGTTACATGAGAATTTAATGTGTTGTTTAGTTAATTTAATGTGATATTCAATTAGTTTAATGTGGTATTTAATGAATTTAATGTGGTAATTAATTAATTTAATGTGTTATTTAATTATATATAATTAATCTAAATATTTATATTTGTTTTATATATAAAAAAAAATAAAGGTGTATTTATATTTGTTATTTACATATATATATATATATATAATATCGTATATTTATATTTATATATATTATAAATTATTGTATAATATTATATAATAGTTTATTAGGTTGTTATGGATGAGATTTAGGTTATATATATATAATATGTAGTGAATTAGGTTATAAACAAAAAGAAAGAAAAAGAGAGTGCTGTGTGTGGCGTGAGAGAGAGAGAGAGAGATATCAAGAAAAGAAAACCAAGATCAAGAAAAGAAAAAAAAACCAAGAAAGCCGAGATAAAGAGGAACACCGGGAAAAAGGAAGAGAGAACCTACAAAAAATCACGTCAATATTGATAGCCTCTTAATCATATCATTTTTTTTGTCAATGGTAAATATGACTTTAAAAATAAATTGTTAACAAAAATGTATTTTGATCAAGGTGCTATGAACATCTGATCAACGCGTTTTTTTGCAAGGATGAAGTACTCAATGAGCTATATACATTAACGGTTTGGATCATCAAAATGTGTCATATGGTGGGCTCATAGGCCCAACAACACTATCTAGTGTAGACTAGTGAGAAGCCATTTCCATACAACAAAATATGAAAGTGTACTGAATTTTTATATTTTTTTTATTCAATGAATTTTTGAATTTTTTTTGTATAAATTTCATATTTTTTAAGTGTTTCCACATTCAATGAACCTAAAAACTAAAAGAAAATTCATTAAAATATTTTTAAAAATTTACTAAAAAATATATAAGGGAAATTCTAATATACACCCATTTAAAAAAGGTGTATCATATTTACTGTTATACTATTTTCTTCTTTAGTTATGACTAATTTTTTTTATTTATAGTTATGACGTTATTTTAGTTATAACTCATAAATTCTTTAATTATGTCTCATGTTTTGTTTAGTTATGACATTTTTTCTTTTTTTAGTTATGAT